CAACACGATGGGGATCCGAAGCACACAGCAAAACTTGTAAAGGAATGGATTGGAAAACAACATTTTAAATTGATGGAGTGGCTAGCACAAAGTCCCGACCTCAATCCGATTGAAAATCTTTGGTCAATAGTGAAAAGACGGATCGGGCAGTACGAAACAGCTCCAACAAACATGGGCAACCTTTGGGATCGTGTAACAGCAGAATGGAGTCGTATTCCGAAAGATATTATTGAAAATTTGGTAGAGAGCATGCCATACCGCGTAAAAGAAGTCATTTCCAATAAGGGTCTATGGACAAAATATTGAAATCTATTTAGTTATTGAACTTTTTTTAAACGTGCAAAATTGAGTTTATGCGAGTTTCTTTCGTTTTTTCTTTCAATCTCTTTGAATTTTTCTCATTAGTCATTGTTTCTTTACTAGAATTTGTTACAAATTAAATAAAACAAAAAAAAAATTGGATTTGCTTGTGTGGTTTTGTTTTTATGGGTGATGAAAGTCAGTTTTGTAAACATGCACTCAATTCTGCTCGCCACTGTACATTTACATGTACAGTGGTATATATTTTGAACAACTATTCCAATAAACTCTGTTTCTTTACCCTTCACATTTTAGGGCGTGAGTATTACGCCTTGCGATACTGTGGCAATATCCGATCCCATAGAAGTGTATGACATGTTCATAGTGGAAGATGACGAGTCCAAAGATTCCAATAAGCAAAATGGGAGGTTCTATAAGCGTCTCATACGGCATGTACGACGGCAGCGCGTACTTTACGATCCAAAACATAAACAATTCTCATGTGCCGAAGCGAAAAACGAAGTTTGGGCCAAAATTGCAAAGCGAATGGGTTGCGATGGTATGTACATAGATGCATATATACATGCATATACTTGTATGTATAAAGATATATATGTCATGTATATGTTTACATATATAAGAAGAGATATGTCTAGAAGCAATTTGATTGCAAATAAGCTCATTTTTGCCTGTGTATTTGTATTCCAGCTGATCTCTGCAAGAATGCTTGGGTGAACTTGCGTTATTCTTATCAGAAATATGTGCGCCGATTGCGTAAATTCTTTGCCAACAAAGCGTGCAAGAAGCGGAGACGCCGACCTATTATGGCATTTGAAACGGAATTAGTTTTCCTCTGGCGTTTCATTGTCGACAAGTGAGTGGAGAGTTTTACAAAGAGGCAAACAAAAATGCGATACCCTTTTTTTTTTTTAATTATAGAATACGCTGTCCCCTGCCCTACAGCGATGAGATGGAGGTGCAAGAAGCAACGCCCGTACAACCAGCTGCCGTCGATGATGATATAGTTTTGCTGGAGGATGACGTTGAGGTGATCGACTTGGACGATGAAACGCCGTCCTTAACAAAAGTATTTGCTAAGCTATGTAAGGTACACTTCCAAGTCACGCCGGAAATACGTCGCTTGATTTACAATTTGCAATGCTATCAGGAGATATTCGATAGCTTCCATCGGTATTATGAGGATTATCGGCGCAAAGGCATTATTTGGAATGCCATCGCGAACGAAGTGGGCGATAAGGGTATGTATGGCTTTCGTGCTGTAGGGCATTTTCGAAAATTTATTTAAGCGCTTTTTCCTTTATTTTAGCTACGAAATTAATGAAATGTTGGATACATATACAAACGCGCTACGAATGGGAGCTTATGCAACGCCGCTTAGAAAAGGAGTTATCAGCTACAAAGCCGCAAACTGAACTGGAGAGTCTTTTGCATTTCACAAAGGCACACATACTTAGAATGTAGGGTTTGCATTGCAAATTTTTTTTTTTATTTAAATCGCACAACTAATATTATTTTTTAACTTTTAGGCCAAGAACGGTTTACAAAAGTTCATACTTTCTCAAAATGGATTGGCATGAGCCCATTGATCACTTTAAAAACATCTTCAGCTTGCTGGTGGCAATGAAGAAATATCCAATAGTGATTACGCTTACCGAAATGATGGTCAACAAAACCGAAGACGTCGATACTGCTAAATATACGCAACTTTGGACCGATGTGGCAAATACTAAAGGTTAGGCTTTATTAATTTTAAGTTGTTCACCCGAATCTTCAATATTTTTTGCTAATTTCCTTAATTACTTCAGGTGGCACTGTTACACCTGGTCAGTGCGAGACCACTTGGCTCATCCTGCGTTTGTTTTACTGGGAGCTAATGGGCATGCGCAAACACAGTTATCAACTGCAAGACAAATGGTATTTCGAAACAATTATAACGGAGCTATATGCCTTGTCCAAAACGTATAAGTTGCCACGCGCTAAAAAGCCTACACTCGGTACGCTCATGATATCGTCCATATGCGTCGATGAGATGACCAAACCTCCATTCTCAACCACTGACAATGCAAATAATGTTAAGCAAACCGAAGTTGTGCCCATGCACAACAGTACGCCCCCGCTTGATGACACGCTAACGCCGAGCGCTATCGTACCGATATCGGTCAGTTTGGATGAAGACAAAATCAGCTCTTCAATAATCGAAACTAAGAGTCAAACGTCAGGTAAAAATATCGTAATACGCAATAAACCGCATAACAGCGCCTTGGACATTTCCTCTGGCTCCACTTGCACCACCGTCTCAAATACCGGCTTGGTTGTGACAGTGACCAAAGTGCCGCCGAAAACGCATACAAACGCCGTCATACAACAGGATGCACAAACGGCTTATCCACAAGCGCGTTCGCCACAAATACGCGTCAAATCGCAGGCGCAACTACAAGCCGAACCCATAAAAATGCTTGTGCAAGCGCGTCCACAGATACAAATACACGCACAACCCACCGCCGCACCGACGCCAAACCAACCCATACAAGTACAAACCATAACGCTGCCGCGCATGCCACATTTACAACAAGCACAGCAATATCAAATGCTACCACTCACGCCAATACAAGCGCAACCCAAGTTGGCGACGAAGCAACAAGCAAATCAGCAGGCGCCAGCACAATTCATACCTACCAATATGGGTCAGTTGCTGCCGCCAACAGCAATAGAGCCGACAATCCACGAAACTACCACAATAAGTTTGGATACGATAAAGACACCGAAAATTGTGTCGGCGGTCAGTTTGGCACCGCGCGCCACCTTCCCTGTACCCTTCATCAATAAGGGTTTACAAATTACCGCTGTCGCAGGTGCTTCCACCAGCGCATCACCGCCCGCCCCACACACCAACACCGCACCATTACCACTATGCGCAGTAGCACCTGCCCCGCATACCAGCACCGCACCATTACCACTATGCGCAGTAGCAACTGCCCCGCATACCAGCACCGCACCATTACCGCTACGCGCAGTAGCACCTGCCCCGCA